TTTTTCATCTTTCACTTGGCACGAAGAAAACCTGACGAAACCAACACACACGTTACAAATTTCTTTTTTCTCTTTTAAACCAAATCATTAAACGAGGTGATTAACACAGATCTTCCCAAAGTAAACACTTTATAGTCTCGTAAAAAAGGAAAAAAATAACTGTCTGAGGACGCCAGCCATCACCAGGCTGCATGTGACTACTAGAGATCGGAATCAGTGCGGTTTATCTTTAGCTGTGCCAGTTATGGAGCCGTCACACTTGGAGAGAGGGAGAGAGGGAGAGAGAGGGAGAGAGAGAGAGAGAGAAGTGACACCAAATTCAAGAAGACAGAAAAACCTGCAGGTTAAACTCACATTTTATCCATTTACTCACGTGTTTCAGACGCATTTAGTGGCTTTTCTCCTCTTTATAAAAATGTATTTTGTGTCACAAACATGCAGCTGTGCAGCGAGGATGAATCAGAGTTCAACGGCTCCAGGACCAAATTTAGAAAATTTGTGGTGCATGTTTGGCTCAGGACAAATCTCCCAAACACAGCTGATGTGGCTGATCCCAAACAACTCAGACAAGATTTTGAGGTTTATACCTGGGATGATTTACCCAGCAGCCACTGCAACCCTCCTATGAAGCTGTGTGACTGAGCACAAACTTCATTTTGTCTTATTAAGCAGCAGCAATAAAATAAAATAAAAAAACGAGCGCGGGGGCAACATATAACTGCATGTAGAAGTGTTTCGAGATGTATTGTGATTACTGGTGTTTATACTGGATCTAGACACAATTTATGACTCGCACACACACTCGCATCCTGTCTGAAGAACTGTATTTATAAGCCAGTCTGAGAGCAGATCTCATGACTCCCTGCTGATGACAGGCTCAGAAAATCTTTCCAGAGAGCGAAACATCCGTGTTTCAGAGGAGCGTTCACAGCCGTCACGGGTCATGAACCGTACAACAATGCGACTGTGGTGAAACTAAATGTGCCAAATTCATGTGTGTCACACTCGCTGTTGTACACAGAACACTTTCAATGAGCGACGCATGTTTCTGTCTGTGAAATGCGTGGAACCAACGCATGATTATCATAGTATATTGTATAATTAAATTGTGTATCATAGCGGGAAGTCAGAGGAGACAGATGAGAAATAATGTTGTAGGTTTCCCAGTGGATTCGAACCTGGGACCTTGTGGTTCGTAGACAAGTTTGCTTTAACTCCTGGACTTTTGCTTTGACTCAATTATAAACACAAACAGGTCTGTGAAAATTAAAGTAGAAAAGTTTAAATGTTCATCAGAAATTTAAATTTACAGGTAAAATCCTGTGAGAGAAAAAACATCACGTGGTCATAATAAACACAGAAACGTTGATCTGATTGTACCTCTGATTTAGATGAAGGTCTCCGGGACCTCCTGGTGATTTCTGACCAAAAAACAAGTGGATCCCTTCTGGACCAGACATGGTGGACTACACATGTACTGACCCGATCCACTGGCTCAGTATTGATGTCGACGTGGACTTTATTAAGTGGATCAGGTTTCTCCCAGACGTGACCGATCCACATTAGGTGAAGTTTCTGTTCTCAAAAGTCCGGGATGAACTCGGTGCTCTCTGTGAAATCTCACTGTTCAGGAGTTGGACACAGTTTAATCTGTAACTGAGAGGCCGCATAAATGAATTAGCGCTGGAAACACAGCTGTGTGTAAATATGATTCCTCAGACAGATGTGAGGCTGGAAACACACCAAACAGCTACAGCGTGTTCCTTAGAAAAACAGCTGAAATTATCCGTCAATTAACAATTAGTCGATTGACAGAAAACTAATTTGCAACTATTTTGATAACTGATGATTTGAGTCTTTAGTTCCAGCTTCTCAAATGTGATTTTTTTTTTTTCGTGTGCTGAGACGGTTGTGAATATGATTTGGGGAGTGACGACTGATTGGACGATGTTGGACCAGGTCTGTTCCAGTCCTGGTCTGACGTGGCCTCAGGTTGTGCCTCTCGTGCATTAGCATATACATTCAGATCACATAAATACATACACATAATATAATTATATAAATACTTTGCCAGAAATCACTGGTTGATTTTATTTCAGAGAAACCAAGAGTTACCTCTGTGATCTGAATGAACGCTAATACATCAGTCTCATTAAAACAGATTCAGGGTTTCATACGCCACAAACCTCAGGAACCAATCCTGTCACCTTGTAGGGATGGGGGGGGCGGGGCTAAATAAACCTGAAACCTTGTCAGTACAGAGATAGAGAGTTAGCATTAGCACAACCACTAACACTGTGTCAGCCACTGCCAGTTACAAGCTAACAAACAACATAAATAAATAAAAGATGCTAACAGCGCTAACCGCTCTGATACAACAGACTCCTCTGAGTCTGGGTCTGACTGAGGCTCAAACATGTGGCTGAGTCTCTCTGATGTTTCCTCCTCTCACCATCGTGATGCTCTCTGCTCTCTCACCTGTCCACCTGGAGAGAGCAGGTGGTGGTGGGCGGGGCACAAGGCCTGATCCAGACTTCTTGATCAGGAAGTAAGAGGAGATGAGCTTCAGATCTAGTTTTTATGAGTGAAAACCATGTTAAACTAAATATAAAGCGGGGGATTTTTACAGAGTACTGTCGTGGTTACTGAGCAGTGGTTGTTTAGTGTATTGACTCAGTCATACGGTTCATGTTCCCTCCTGCGTGTCAGGGGAAGTTGGTAAAAACCATCTGCATGTGTGGTTTGTCCAAACATAACAACAGGTCTCAGCTGGTCTTCAGGTTTGTCCTGAGCTGCTTTAGTCAGTAAATTAAACACCGCTGTGGTTTGGGACTGAGATTTTGGCTTTTATTTTTTGCAACATGTTTAATCACAAAAAATAATCAGTGGATCGTTTGATAATGAGAAATAATTCCTGTTCGCAGCCCCACTTTGAAGTGAGTCTTTAATGGGACCTCATGTGGACAGGACTGGATCTGGACTGAAGGTAATGAAAGTCATTAGAAGGCGGAAAACATGCTTAACTTCCCTGACCCCCCCCCCCCAACTTTCCTCCATGATTCATTATTGTGTCGGCCTGCTGTTTACATGCCCGGCTCCCATTCAGAACTTAATCACCATTTCCTTCCAAATAGGTCACAGTCAAAACAGCCAGTTGGAGCATCAGATGAAGGGATTATCCTGGAAAAAATGGCAACCCACGGCCATCGGAGATTATCACACATGTTCAAATTAGGTTCCATATCACAGCAGGTGTTTCTTTTTTTTTCCTTCCCTGGTAGGGTATTATATTATGCTGCATGCCTACCACAGGAGAAGGACTGTGTGTGTGTGTGAGTGTGTGTGTGTGTGTGCAGGGGGAAGAAGGGCTACTAGAGGAGGCAGGAAAAAAACCTTGCGTGACCTATTTCTAGATAGGCTGAATGAAGAGCCCTGTTGCTAGGAAAAGTCCGGAGTTAGATGCTGTAATGTTACGCACACGCACAGAGTAACAAGTCAAAAGGGCTTTAAAATAAAACTGAGTGAAATTTAAAAGCATTAACAGGTCAGTCCCATGTTTAAACACTGATGTAGATACTCACTACACCACGTCTGACTATACAATCAATTTTATTGCACTTCTCAGGCAGCACAGGGAGATATGGCTCCTGTGGGAATGATAAAGTGATGCTATGTTAAAAAGGCCATAAATAGGTGTCTGTCTGTGGTTTAGGACCGTTTTACAGCCACATAAACAAACAGGAATGTTTTAAGAAACAAGTACAGGCACTTTTAGGCCTTTATAAAACGGTGAATGGGAAATACTTTATATAATATTTGTTGAGGAGAAAACTGAATTCTAGTGTGTTTAGCTGCATTAGTTTCCTTTAAGTGACACTGTGGCGAGAGTGATAAATATAAACTGGAGATGCAATTTGATAATTTTTATTATCCGTTAATCTAGAGCTGCAATGATTAGTAGATTCACTGATTATTTGATTGGCAGACAATTTAATCAATCAACCAATTAATCGAGTGATTATTTTTTCAAATAATCGATTATCATTTTGTCTATTAATGTAAAGTATGCTTGAAAACGACTGTGACAAAATAGATTATGAAAATAGCAGCTGATTATTTTCCTTCCATTCGACTATTCAATTAATCATTTCAGCAGGACTCTGACCCAAATATATCCCATTCACAGAGATTATGACTAGATAATGTGTGGATTTTTTTTGACAGATGGATAACTTGATTAATCAAAACAGTTGCCATTTAGGGCTGCAAGTAATGGTTATTTTCATTATTGATTTTCTTATCTTTCTTCTTAACTGATTCATTGTTTTGTCCGTAAAATGTCAGAAAAGAGAGAGAAATGCAAACAGACCGACGCAAAAAAGAAAGAAAGAAGGAAATTAGTTTGCGATCTGGAACCAGCAAACAGTTGCTGATTTTTATCTTTATCTATCAACTAATTGATTAATTGACAAGTTGTTGAGGCTCTATTGTGGATTCGGTTTCAGGAATCCTGGGATTGTTATGGATTTGTCTTGGTTAACATGACAGCTCAGTATAACAGAGTTTTGTTTGGAGTTAGTTGATTAGTTGATTAATCCACTACTTGATAAACAGAAAATCAATCAGCAACTATTTAGATAACTAAATATTTAGTTATAGATTTTTCTAACAAAAATACCAAATATTTGCTAGTTGCAGCTTCACATATGTGAGAATTTGATGCTTTTCTTAAACATAAATGAGAATAAACTTAATTTTCTAATGGCTGTTGGTCAAATAAAACAAGCACTTTGAAAACATCATCTTAGGCTGTGGAAACTGTCACTGGCTTTTTTCAGCATTTCTGATGTTTTTTTAGACAAGAATTAACCGATTAATCGAGAAAATGATCGGCAGATTCATCTATAGCACATACAACCATTAGTTGCAGAAATGTTTAACAAGAACTAATGTTGCATTGAGTTGGTGGTAACACAAAACGTGGATTATAGCAGACATACCTTCCAAGCTGAAGTCCAGCAGCACATACTCGAACACAGTATCCGTTTTGGTCTCCACTTGTGGTCTCTTTAAGGTGGAGTAAATTTTCCCGGGGCTGCTGTCCTCCGGGTCTTCCAGTTTCCTCAAGCCGCAGCCCATGGCCTCCGACGCGGGTACAGCCGCTCGCTCAGCTCGGTGGGAGGACCGGAGGAGCCGCTGTGCCTGCCGCCGACAGACAAGACACACAGACTCAGCCTCTCTTGTGCTTTCAACTTTAACGGGACCGCTCCATCCCTCCTCTGTCCCCGCTGTTAATCCCACCGAGATAATCAGTTCAAAGGTGGAACAACGGAAAAACCCACCGGTTTATGAAGAGAAAAGCCGCGCGGAGGATTATAACGACGAGCGGCTACTTCGTGGAAAAGTGTCCCGCCGGAGTGGCTGCAGGTCTAGAGCGTGGAGAGGAGGAGCGCTCTCCCTGGAGAAAAGTTTCCCCCACAATCAAGGTAACAAGGATAAGACAATTTCCTTTTGAATTTTCAAAATAAAATACTGAAATAAACTTAATTTTAAAACAACATTAATTCCACAATGAATCATTAGGATCCAATTTTGTTTGTGTTTTTGACGTTTTTTTTCTCCTTTTTTAGTCATTTGTACGGACTCGGGCATAGACGCCCCACCCCACACATCTGTAGATGTTTTATGTCTCTATGGAGTAATTCTGTCTTTAAAAAAAATATATATATATATATGTTTAGTGTTTCTTTTTGGTCAGGATACCTACTTTTTACATCTCTTTTGAGTTACTTTGCTTCATTTTCTATTTCTTTCTAGGTGCAATGATTTTCTAGACAAAACAAGAAATACAAATTTTTGCACTGATCTCTACATTGTTGTAATCCATACTTAAATGACCTGAGATCTCTACATTCTCACTAATTATGTGTTTTTTCCCTTGTTGTAGCCTATGTTATAAGTATTGACTGCTGAAATTTTAATCATTACTTGGCATTAAAGTTGCATTTCAGAATATTCACATAATAATAATAAAAAAAAAAAAAAAAAAAAAAAAAAAAAAAACAAGAACAAAGTTTTTTATGGAGTGGGTGAAATTTATTCATCCCAATTTACATGATACTGATTTATAAAAAAGAAAGAAAGAAGCAAATCCTAACAATCCAGAAGCTGTAACCAATGAAATAAGAAGGTAGCTGATGAACAGACTAATCTGCTGTACTTGATAACATTATCCTACAGTCTTTATTGATTTTAGACTTTTATTATGAAGTCAGGCTTGTTTAACGTCCGGTCTCACAGCGAATAACGGCCGTTAACTTGATGTCGTGAAGTTTTCGGTGGAGAAAAAGTTCTTCAAACCTCCTCATGAAATATTTATTTACTTAGTGACAAGTTTTACGAACAGAAGAGATCAGTGCTGAAAAATGAATCCTGAAAACCCCATAACTTTAAATTCAAAATCTGGCAGAGAGACGTTGCAGGAGGCGGGACGGCGCCGGTGGCGGGAGGAACATCATCATGGATAATTTGGAAACAACGTGCTGCCACCATGACTCCCCCATCCGTTAGTGATCCAGTGTTTCCTTCGGGTTTTAGCCAATGACTCTATGGCAGCACTAAATATCTCGACAACTATGGGACGGATTACCATGAAATTTTGTATAGATGTTAATGATGCCCAGATGAAGTTACTTATTAGCACATTTTACTTAATTTAAGTTTTAGTACTGTACTTGAATGTCATTTCTCCATTAGTAAGCGAGGGTTAACAGAGCTAAGGCAGTTTTTTTTTAATAATCATTTGGTAAAAAAAATACTCAAACTGACAGTGACCTGCTCTATGGCTGAATGAAAGTGCAGTTGTCAATGTTGTTGCCTTAAAAAATATTGTTAGCAGGCTACTTCTATTAGCTCTCACCTAGGCTACTTGTGTTTGAGATGCAAATTTATTACTATGATCAGCTTATGGTTTCTGCTTGAATGTTTTTTTTCATTTTGTTTATAAACCCAAAGATATTGTCCTTTATTTTACATTTGTATAGTTATGTATGTTCTATAATATGTTATAGAATGTTTAAATGTGTGTAACCATTTATACAGGGAGTAGTGTAAATTACCATGACATTGAATGTTACGTAAAAAGTTTGTTTGTAAGGTACAGTTGTCTTCACGTGGGGAAGAGCGTGAGAAAACCTAACCTGTTTATTTTATTCTCACATAGTACAGTTCCGATGTTGTATCCTACCTTCCTATTGGTCAGATATAAAGCAACGTCAAGTTCCTTGGTTACTGATTGGCCAAGGGGCGGGAGCACGGCAAGCGGTAGGACGCAAGAGTGCGTGAGAGCAGTTGATCGACGTAGCTGCCTCGTCGCCGATTGGCGTGAGAGCGGAGAAGAAATGCTAACAGTTAAGTGTATAAACTTATCGTTGTCAATGTGCTTCACAGAGTGTAGTATGGACGTTACGAAGCTCAATGAGTTAAGTCAGTGACATCTTGATTAACTACCGCGTTTTCAGCGTGTCGAAATAAGCGTATGTTTCGTCTGAGTTACTAGCACGCTAAGCTAGCGCACAGACGTTGGACTTATTCAGCTTGAGTGCTAACCGCTCGCTAGCATGTCGGTGGATATCATCAGCCCGATGACGAGCGAGAGGAGACAAGATAGCGTACTGGGTGACCAGGTAAAACCCAGCTGCACCTCTGGCTACGAGGGAGGAGAGACCTTCTTCATCTACGGTGAAGGACTGGTGAGAGGAGCAGCCCGCTCGGTTTCCTACGGACAGAGGGAGACTGGACCGGGGGTGAGTAACCCTGTTATAAAGCGCGGCCACAATCAGCGGCCGCCATCTTTAACGTGACCTAACGTACACCAGCGACGAACACACCTGCGTCGGGAGGTTTCATTTTATTTCACGGCCGGCTTTTTTGGTTTTCTTTTTATAGTGTGGGCCTACAAATGTTAAATGTGTTGTTTTATGGTATGAATGTTTTATGGTTCATCACGTAGTTAAAGGTACCTTAGAATTACTAAAAGAGTAAAATAGAAGTTAAAGGAGTTTAAGAGTAGCCTAATTAAAGGAAATAGTGTTTGTATGTGCTTTAACTCATGGTATTGTGTTTAGTAACGGTGTTAACTTGAATTTGAGTGTATACCTCCCAACGGAAGGGAGAGGGTGAACAATCTGACTGTTTGCTTTTACTGAGATTTTCCTATACAGGGTGCTTAGGCTTTTATGACTTTGAGATGGTTTAATGTAAATTATTATAGATTAGGTGAAAGGTAAAGAGAGTTAAAGGGGCAGTAAAAGTGAGACCACACATAATGTTATAGTCTTTATTCATTCACACAGTAGACATATTACACAGGTGGTATCATTGAGAATGAACGAACCTAGGGGCTGTTCATAACACTAGTTAGTAGAACAGTATTACATCTGTATAACTGGAACAAAATAAAATTTCTTTAGTCTTTTGTTCATTTGATGATTGTGTCTTGAAACTTCAGAACTTCAAATAAGTGTTAAAGTATTTTTGATGATCTGTAACAGATATATCCCTTGTATTTGGCTAAATATTAATGCCAAATAGGATAAAATTGCTAGTTTATAAAAGGAAAGTTGTTGAAATAAGTCAAACATCCTTGCGTAGTCAGCCTTAAACAATTTAATACATTCTCAAAACAAGTCAGAGTAGATTTTAAATATAAATATAAGACTATTTCTCTTACTGTGAAATATAGTAGTGCAAAAACAATACAAAGGACTTAACTTCGGTATTCTCAAAAGTTGGTAAGGCTCTTATTTTGTCACTTAACACATTGGCTGAGAGTTAAAAGTTTCAGTGAGTAGGAGGAGTCATGAAAATTCTCAATTCACATCATCAGCCTTTCAAACATGTCTACAGCACTACATACAGTACTACTCGGAGCCAGCTCTGCGTCTGAATACTCACTGAGGACAAAGTGATTTACTACAATTGCAGAACAGGCCTCTTGTTTACTGCATGCCCCTCTCCTCTGTTGTTCTGTTGGCCATCTGCGCTTTTTTCTTCACTGACATAACTAGAAGGGAGCAATTCAATCAGTGACCATTTATCAGCACGGTCCTGCCAGACTGTTGGGGATTACCTTTCTCTACTTGTGGTCTTTGTAACTCGAGCCCTGACTGCTGCCTCTTAATGTTCTTTTGTCGGAACGAACATGTGGCATCAAGCGGTGAGGTCAGGCCTGTGACCCCCGCACACACACACCTTAATACTGTTGACCTCTGACCTCTGATTTCCACCTAAGACCATTAGGAGCACAGTGCTCCATCTGAAGTCCCTCATTAGTGAAGGAAGCATGCAACTAAAACTGTTCAAGTGTTGCTCCTGATTGATGTGTTTGACAGCTAAAGCAGATCACACCAGGATTTCCCGCCAACTTCTTATTGTTTTCAACAACACGTGAACTTGTAATAAAGTGCAAAATTATTAACATGTTAGTTTAGTCACAAATTAACAATGTGGTCCTTGATCCAGATCAACTCAACCAAACTACAGGTGTGAAAGCATCAACTGTCAGTCACTGTATGTATAGAATACATAGGGTGGAGATAGTCTCTCACTCAGAGAACCATGTTTACACACATTACCTACTAATGCATTTCAAACCAAGTCAACAATATTCCCAGAAAGCATGAATAAATTAATCTGGATTTTTACATTTATGAAGTTATGTATCCTGCATTTTAGAGTCTTTAAATAGCGTTATATCGGATTGATTCATTTTCATGAGCTGTTATATCTTTTGTAAAACTTGACACAACATTGCAATATCTTCATCTTTTAAGGAGCAACATTATCGTTTGTATGGAGTGGTGTTTGTGTCCATCTGATCCAGTGTTCCCTCTCTTTTAGCTGTGTGTTTGGTCTCCACCAGCTCCTGAGGGAAATATGTGGCTCTTTAGCTGCTAAATGCTTGACTATATTCACTATGTTAGAGCTGTTTCTCTGAAAATTGCTGCTAGCTGTGGCCTAATATCATGCCAAGATAAATGTCAATAACAGCTGCTTTAAAATCTAAAAATTCCTCCATTTTGAACTGAAGTCCTGATTCTGAGTTTGTACAGGAAATAAATTCTGCTGAATACTGTTCATTTTGCCAACCATGAAAATTTTCTTCTCCAAATCAAGTAAAAAATTTTGCCAACCATGAAATGTCAAAATAAATGTAGATCAAAAGTTTGTATTCTAAGTTGTATATACCTGAAAAAACTCTGCATTGTACTAAAACTATTTTGCACATCTGTCAATTGAATAAAATCATCTTTAAATCACAAATAGTTTATAAATTCTTTAAACATATTTCTTCCAAATAAACACATAAGATAATAGAAATATCACCATCATTACTTCTCTTTTGCATAAGAAAACC